TGTGTGTCACTTATTCACTAGGTGACATATTGATGACATATGAACTCAAATACAGCTGTGGAATGTCAATGATAAGTCTTAAGAGAGCAACATGCATCACTCTGCTCTCTGCTGCAGCTGCTCTCATTTGATCTTTTATTTAATCTATCTTTATATTATTGTGTCGGCTGGAAATTAGCACCTAGAGCTATAACCTGATACAGTGCATCTTTACTCTATATTGTCCCTGTTTTAAATACCTAAATCTATAAAATCTTTATACATGGCAATATGTGACTCAAGTTGTCTGTTGAAGAATGTTTCATGTGTTGATAGGGTTATTTTAGAGCTTCAGAATTAGCTTTTGCTAAATTTTCAGTGCATTAGTGCTTTACAATTAGGGGACCTAAATATTTGAGTTAGTGTTTCAGGGCTAGCAGAAATATTGTAATGGATTGTCCATAACAAACATCATGTTCAAGCATAAGGGTGTCCATATGTGCTCTTGGCACCACGACACCCTAAGCCGCAGTTCGATGATCGACGTTATTGTCGTTTCATCTGATCTGCGGCTGCATGTCTTTGACACTCGGGTGAAGAGAGGGGTGGAGCTTTCAACTGACCACTAGCTGGTGGTGAATTGGCTCTGTTAGTGGGGGAGGATGCCGGTCAGACCTGGCAGACCCAAACGTAGAGTGAGGGTCTGCTGGGAACGTCTGTCAGAGTCTCCCTTCAGACGGAGCTTCAACTCACACCTCTGGGAGAACTTTGAACACGTTACGGGGGAGGTGGGGGACATTGAGTCCGAGTGGGCCATGTTCTGTGCCTCCATTGTCGAGGCGTCTTACCTGAGCTGTGGCCGTAAGGTTGTCGGTGCCTGTCGTGGCGACAACCCTCAAACACGCTGGTGGACACCGGCGGTGAGGGATGCTGTCAGGCTGAAGAAGGAGTCCTATCAGGTATTTTTGGCCTGTGGGACTCCGGAAGCAACCGATAGATATCAGCAGTCCAAGCGTATTGCAGCTCGGGTGGTCGCTGAGGCAAAAACTCGGATGTGGGAGGAGTTCGGAGAGGCCATGGAAAAAGACTTCCGTACAGCTTCAAGGCAATTCTGGTCTAACATCTGGCATCTCCGGGGGGGGAGTGATTCGCCACCAGCATTATTTATGGTGGGGATGGTGCGCTGCTGACCTCAACTCGGGACATTGTGGGCTGGTGGGAAGAATACTTCGAAGACCTCCTCAATCCTACCGACACGTCTTCCCATGAGGAAGCAGAGCCTGAGGAACCTGGGTCAGACTCTCCAATCTCTGATGCTGAGGTCACTGAGGTGGTTAAAAAGCTCCTCGGTGGCAAGGCGCCAGGGATGGATGAGATTTGCCCTGAGTTCCTTAAGGCTCTGGATGTTGTGGGGTTGCGTTGGTTGATGCTACAATATCTCGTGGTCATCGGGGGCAGTTCCCCTGGATTGGCAGACTGGGGTGGTGGTCCCCCTATTTAAAAAGGGGGACGGCAGAGTG